CAAACAAGAACCTGATGCTAGCCCTGCCTTCTCGAAAGAACAATATCAGGAGATAATGAAACTCTTACAACGTTCAAAGCAAAATCACTCAACAAATATAGTGCAGACTTTTGCTTTTAACATTGATAACACACCATCAGGTATTGGTCCAACTCGTTGGGTTTTGGACACTGGAGCTGTAACACCCCGTTCTAGAACCGAATTGTTATCATTGCGTACGACATTAAGAGCAGTTACAATCACATTGGTTCAATTAGAAAACCGGATAAATTTTTCCTTTTTAAACAAGCCGGATTTAAATAACCAAGTGCGTGATCATAACTATATATACTTCACGGAATAGTGGGACTAAACTTAATATTGTATTCCCATTCTACTTGACAATACGTCGTGAAATATCTTCATCACTTTAATTATCAAATTAATTCTAAACTCCTTTTATGATTCCCATCTTCTACTATGTTATGTTATTTTTCATTAGCTACGCGTGGGTTCAATCCGCGCTCAAATCGGAGCACCGTAGCCAAAGTTATGCATTTTCTAAGAAAAGGGTGCGAAACCTCCAAAACCCCCGCGCCCGCAGCGTGAGATCCGCGCTCAGAGCGTGGGAAAACAGAAAGTTGGCGCCCCAAGCGTGGATGCTACTGTCTGATCTCGTAATTTGGCATCCCAAGCGTGAATCTGGCGCCCCAGGCGCCATCCACAGGGCTGGGTGACCCAAAACAAGGTCATTTAACCTACCTATGGTTTTCCACTCATAACTTGAGCTATACTCACTCAAATTACACCATTTTGGTCTCTATGGAAAGCTAAGAGAAAGGTCTACAACTTCCATAGAGACATCAAAGTCCAATTCCATCACATTGGGTATAAAAATTGGTCAACCGGACATGATGTATTTGTTTTCTCAACATTTCCCAATTTAGCACTAGGTACCTAATTTAGTTTCCAGTTCAACAATCCAATACTTAATGAACATACATATATTAAACTTAAAGTACTCATGAATTACAAATCATGTTCATTACAATTCATGGAACTTAGCTTACAAAACACTATGATCATTCCCTTGGCTCCCATCAACAAAAGAGATGACCAAAGGCATGAGCATAGGCTAAGTCCATTCCAATATACAAATCATACATCTATCAATGGTCTATGAATTACAATCCTATACATGTGAGCTACAAAACAACATGTATAATATCAAAATATAGGATCCTCATGCATATACTAATCCAAATATGGCCACTTGCCACTGGTGGCTCTTGCAGCATCCTTACCTGAAAGGGGGTCCCCACAACACGGGGTGAGATATACGAATATATCCAGTAAACCAGGGGTCCTTGGAGCATCTCTCCACCCCACAGTTCCATATCAGTGTAATAGCAATAACAATAATAATGCAGTAAATACATATCTATGCAAAGTGCAATACATCTCTAGGAGAAATCCCTCGAGCTCTCAAGCTGTCCTAAGGAAACTCAGATGCAAATAGTCCTACTGGCCAGCTAACTACCAAGTATGATTTACGCATCGTCATGCAACATACCAACATAGGGAAACACCATCCTATGCCACACCAAATGCATACACATACGTATAACAAAGCATTACACTATTTTATTGCATTTATATACACAATCACAACCTCTACCCTTTCAGGGCTTGGTAGAACAGTCAAGGGAATTACACCCAAGGTCCGAAGGCTTACCTCAATGTTTCAGTCAACCTTTGTTCACCACTAACAGGTTCCACAGTCAGTCAATTACAATACTCCACTTTTCAAACAAAACCTACACAAGGTTTAATGCAATTAACACATATTGCATCCAATAACATCTCATAGCTATCAACCAAGTTATACAATTCATACCAAACATAAGCATGAACTCACCTATCCAATGGAGCTAATCAAGCTCCATAGCTTGCTCCAATGGTTGATCACTTACGGTTGGTCCAAATGCCTTAATCCTAGACAACACCAAGGCATAATCAACAACCAACCAAGCCAATCCATTGATCATAATTGCAAGAAAACTCTTCAACAAGCATGATAATCTTGCAATATACCAAGTATAGTCATTTAACTAACTAGGCTCATTTTTACCGATTAAATGACATTCCTAGCATTTTCCATAACATGCTCTAAGCTTCATTCTTCCCAGAACATAGCTAATTTAACAACATTTCATCAAAACCCCAATTTACTATTCATTGAACCCTAACTCATTGCACAACCAAGGATTGATGGCTCCTCAAGCTTCAATGGAGGTAGAAACTCTCAAAACCCCAATTTTCACCAAAGGGCTGAATTTTTGAGAGCCAATATCTCACCACACAAAGCTCCCCACTAAGAACTAAGCTTGGATTATGAAAGAGGGGAAGATTTAGAGTGGTTTAGGCTTTTGAATCACTCCAATCGGTGGAGGATTGCTCTCCCTAGGTTTCTCTCTCTATTTTCCTCTCCTTCCTCTTCTTCTCTTCCTTCTTCTTCTTCTTTCTGGCGTCGACGGGTTTCTGGGGGAATTGGGTCTTCTTTCTTGTTTTATCACTTAACATAAGTTAAGTGGTAACACGTGGGTATTAGTTCGTCTATCTATTTAACTCCAATAATCACCAAACTTTACCCAAAAGTATGGAATATTATTCTAGGAATATTTACAATTTTTATTTTTATATTTTGGGCACTTTCGCCAGTACCCATTTATTCCCCTTAATTTTCACTGAGTACACTTTTTAACTCCAAAGTGACTCAGATTTATTTAATTAAGCCTCATACTTAATTTTACTCACTAAAACATGCTTAATTATTTAATTACATGTAATTTGCTAATTACTTAGGTTAGGGCTATTATAGGAGCTATTGACCACATCACGCACATAGCTTCCAATTTTTCGTGTATCCAGTCTATAAAGCCCATACACATCACCCTACCTATTGGTGCTCGAATCACTACTTCTCAGTCCGGCAATGTACATCTATCAAACTCCCTAATTCTAAAGAATGTTCTTTATGTTCCTTCATTTCGTGTTAATTTGATATCAGTTACCAAGCTTTTACAAGATACTCACTGTTATATTCTTTTTCGTGATATAACATGTCTCATTCAACAGATTTCAACCAACTAGACGATTGGTTCAGCTAAGCAAATCGATGGATTGTACATTTTGCAACAGACACATGAGGGTTCTATCAAAGATAGCTCTTTCAATAAGGTTTCTTCTGATTCCTCGATGATATGGCACCAAAGACTTGGACACCTATCCCAACCAATTATGAAGACTATGTCTGAGCATTTTCCTTTTGTTTATTGTAATAATATTGACCCTTGTGATGTCTTCCATTTCTCTAAACAACGAAAATTACCATTTTTGTCTAGCACATCTAAAATTACTTCTCCTTTCGAATTGATACACACAAATATTTGGGGTCCATTTTCTTCTGTTTCTTTACATGGTCATCGTTACTTTTTAACCATTGTTGATGACTTAACAAAATGCACATGGGCTATTATTTTAAAAGACAAAAGTGAAGCACGTAAAAATTTAAAGTACTTCTTCACTTATGTTGAAAATCAATCCCACTCCTCAGTGAAAACAGTTAGGAGCGATAATGGAGCAGAATTCCTTATGCATGATTTCTATCGTTCCAAAGGAATAGAACACCAACGTTCTTGCGTTGAATCGCCCCCAACAAAAAAGGGTTACAGAACGTAAACGCCAATATATTCTGAATGTAGCTCGTTCTTTATTCTTTCAAGCTAACTTACCCATAAGCTTGTGGTGTTATGCAGTTTCCTATGCTATTGATCTAATCAACCGTTTGTGTACTCCAAATCTCAATAATAAAACACCCTTCGAGCTGCTATACAAAAAACCTTCTACTCTCACACATCTACGAGTTTTTGGCTTTCTTGCCTATGCCACTACTCTTCAATGTCATCTAACTAAATTTGATTCTCGAGCCCAGAAAACTGTATTTCTTGGATACAAACAAGGTACAAAGGGATATGTGTTGTTTAACCTTTCTAATCGCAGTATTATAATATCCAGAAATGTCATCTTTTATGAAAATTCCTTTCCTTTCATTCCTGCACCTTATTCATCATCAAATCTAGCTCCTGAACCTAAAGAGATCCCTGAACACATTCCTAGTTATGACCCTAACCTTTCAGAGCCTACCCCTACACCTCAACCCATTTCTCCCATTGCACCAAACCCAATCATTCCTCAATTTCCAATATCAGAAGATAATACTCAACAACCTCAAAATATTCAACTCAGACGTTCGTCCAGACCTCATATTGGTCCAAAATATTTGCAGGATTTTCATGTGTCGCTATCTATTGCTTCTGACACTAATGCAGTCTCTGGTTCTTCCCCTTGTACTCCTTATCCACTTTCTGATGTATTATCTTATAACCAATGCTCTTCTGTTTATAAGAATTTTTTCCTCAATGTTTTCTCTTGTACTGAACCTAAGTCATACTCCCAAGCATCCAAACACGAATGTTGGAAGAAAGCCATGTGTGATGAAATAACAGCTCTAGAACAAAACCAGACATTGTCCATTGTTGATCTCCCTCTCAACACCACGCCCATTGGATGCAAGTGGGTCTATAAAATCAAACACAAGGCAGATGGTTCAATAGAACATTACAAGGTGACATTGGTCGCCATAGGCTACACTCAAGTTGAAGGCATCCACTACCTTGATACGTTCTCCCCAGTTGCGAAACTCACTACTCTCAGAATACTCCAGCGAAAGGATGGATACCAGAGCAACTAGATGTGAACAATGCTTTTCTGCATGGAGTCTTACACGAAGATGTATTTATGGTGCTTCCCCCAGGCATCACTTCTGACAAACCAATCAAGTTTGCAAGCTGCAACGTTCCTTATTTGGCCTTAAATAGGCTTGCAAGCAATGGAACGTTAAACTCACGACTTCACTCTTTTCTCTGGGGTACGTTCAATTTGAAGCAGACCATTCATTAATGGTAAGAAAACACAACAATTCTTTCACTGCCTTACTCATATATGTTGATGACATAATGCTAACAGGAAACGATGGATATGAAATTCAACATGTTAAACGTCACCTAGACCATCTCTTTAAGATAAAGGATTTGGGTTCCCTTTGGTTTTTCTTGAGACTTGAGGTTGCTCGTTCTAAATCAGGTCGCATTCTCAACCAACAAAAGTATGCTCTACAATTATTGTTCGATGCGGGTCTCCTTGCTGCTAAGCCTGCCACAACACCAATGGATCCTTCTCTTAAACTTCAAAAAGAACAAGGCACTCCTTTCTGTGACGCAACAACTTATAGAAGGCTTGTTGGTCGATTGCTTTACCTCACTACCACAAGACCTGACATATCATTTCCGGTTCAAGAACTTCGTGAATTCATGGCTAATCCAACGGATATTTACTATAAAGCTGCCACACGAGTTTTTCGATATATCAAAGACTCACCTAGCAAGGGTTTATTCTTTCCAGCTGACAACGATCTTCACCCATCTGCATTTTCTGATTCGGACTGGGCATGTTGCACAGACACCAGACCCTCCATATCTGGTTTTTTGTGTTTTTCTAGGCCTAGCTCTTGTTGCCTGGAAATCAAAGAAACAAAATACAGTTTCTCGAAGCTCTTCTTAAGCTGAATATTGAAGCCTTGCAAGTCTGGTTTGTGAACAACAATGGCTCTCTTACTTATTCAGGGATCTTTCCATGCCTTTATCGTAGCCTATATTAGTGTTTTGTGACAACAATTCAGCCATTTACTTTGGCTCACAACCCTGCATTCCATGAACGTAGCAAACATATTGATATAGACTGTCACATTGTTAGAGAAAAGATTCACAATGGTCTCATTCACCTTCTTCCCATTCGGTTTGCGCTCAACTAGTTGATTTACTGACTAAAGCCATACATGCCATACATCGTACTCAATTTCATATCCTTTTAACCAAGTTGGGAATGAAAGATATCATCTCCAGGGGGGCTATTGATTGATATATTAGTCACATTTATTTTATGCACGTGTAATATTTTAGTTTCAGCCACTGCATGGATTTGTTATGTAACCAAATGCAACTGCGTTAGATTTAACTATTCCTGCCAATATTAGACGTTTGTATCTTGTGCAGCTGGGTCTTATATATACCAGCTTGTATTCATTCAATGATAATTTTCAGTTCATTTGCTTTATCGATTTGTAATGAAAGTATTGCTTCCAGAGGTTATGCTTCTTTTTTTTATCAACTTCTGATTTTCTTGGATGCTCTTTCTCTTTGTTGTTTTCATTGACTCTGCAGTATAGATTTTGTACTATGGGGACAGGAGGAATGATATGGAACATAACCATCCTGACATGTAATGAGCAGGACACATTATGATATACCTTTTTGGAGCAGCAATGAAGTTTGGAAGAAGGCGGAACATAATAAGAAGCACAGGTCCACACATGATGGACCTTCACATCTTGGAGGCTCTATTCCCATAAGCGAACATAAAAAGTGATTGGTAAATAAATTTAACCTTGATTAGTTGGGTACCGTTGAATATATCCAAATAAATTTAACCTTGTCAAGTTGTGATATTTGTTTTCAATTTCATGTTAGTGTTATAATGATATTTATAGAATTGTACAATGCAGCCAACAGAAGGGGACAACAACCCAATTGAATTCGTAAGTTACTACAATTTTCGTAAGTTATATAGAGTAAAACATTTACTAATTGAGCGAACGCTATGATTCCAAGAGTTCCAGACTGTATCGGGAAAATCAAACTTATTTGTTACATTCTGTTTACTTCCAATCAACTGTAGCATTTGAGGAAGATGAAAATGTGAAAACAACTCAATATGTTGTCGGAGGGAGATAGATTACCACAGGGATCTTTTGTGGGAGAATTGGTAAAGGAACTTCGAAGTTAAGCACCTTAATCACTTGCCTTATAGAGGGCCTGGATATGTAATCTGGATTTGCACACCAAAGACCAACAACCAACAAGCATTCCATTTGTTGCACATCAAGTACCCCACATAGCTTTGGGTCTGCTGCTGCAAGGAGATTTCTCAAACCATAGAGCTCCCAAACCCATTCAACTAATAATACTTGACCCTCCTTGTCATTGTTGTTCGTGGCTTCTCTTCCACTGGCTATCTCCAACAAAACAATCCCAAAACTGAATATGTCGGATTCTTTTCTAGCCTTGCCGGTTTTCATATATTCAGGGCCTAGATAACCAATGGTCCCAGCCACATCTGTGGTTTGTGACCCTTTCTCATGATCCACCTGCTTAGCTAGGCCAAAATCGCCAAGCTTAGCATTAAAATTGGAGTCTAACATTATGTTGCTTGATTTGATGTCCCTATGAAGCACACATTTTTCCCATCCTTCTTGTAGGTAAAGCAATGCTGAGGCCAATCCCAGAGCTATGTTGTACCTCACCTGCCACCACAAGATGCTTTCTCCATGAAAAAGATGAGAATCTAAGCTGCCATTTGGCATGTACTCGTAGATCAGGAGGAGATCATTCTTCTTGTGGCACCAACCAATGAGTTGCACCAAATTCCTATGCCTCAATTGGCTAATGATCTTCACTTCTGCTGCGTATTCCTTTATACCCTGTCTTGATTCTGCTGATATCCTCTTTATAGCGACATAGGAGTTTGAGTCTTTAAAATAACCTTTATAAACACAACCAAAACCACCTTTCCCAAGCTTCTGTGTATCTGCGAAGTTGTTTGTTGCAGTTACCAATTCATTATAGCTGATCTTCTTGGGTCCAGTGCTGATGTGGAATTCATCATCCATGTTATAATCAGAAGTGGTTTCTGAGGGGGATTCTTTTCCTTTTCCTTTATCCATCATCCATAATAAAATGTGGACCAACCCTACTAAAGTCACAGACAAACCTACACCAATTCCTATTCCCTCCAGCAATTTTGTGTTTCTTTCCTTCTTAGGATCGGCATTGCTTGTACTAAATGACCACGAAAGAAGGGTATGTTCCTCAGGATTTGCTCCTGTTGCAGCTGATATGCCAACAATAACCGACTCTGGTAAGTGCTCTGTGATATCAATGTGGTATGAAAGGTACTTTGTTACTGGCAGATCGAGTATGTATCCCGTGAAAGACACATCTAGAATTTTATCTCTTGAATTATATACAATACTACAGTCATAAACGCTCCTTCGAGAAATATCTGTTCCCCATTTCCGAAGTATGTTAGACTGCATAGAGTTGACATCCACACCTACATGTAAGCTAGTTGGGTCCCACTGGTTTGAGTTAGTGTCAAACTCCACTGCCACAAACTTATAATCAATAGGGAGAGGTGTTTTGTCATGCACACGACCAAGGCCAAGGCCTCCTCGTTTTATTTCTGTGTCATTTGCATCTGGGAGATTTGGGCTTGCTAGGAAGAAAGCCAAACCTTCTCCATAATAATTCTGATTTGAGAAAACAATGAAGGAAAATTCGGTAGTGAAGTCCTTTTGTTGATTTGAGGTTTCGTTCCAAAGTTGAATAAGGTTGGAACTTGTGACTCGACCAACACTCCCAATCCAGTTACCACTTGTGAGTTGGATGGTACAATCTGAAACAGAAGCATCTCCTTCCAGCTTTAGCTGCTGCTGCTGCTGCAAATCAGCATTAACAAAGTTTTGGTAATCAAAAGACACAAGCTGAGCATGTACAAGAGGGATTATCAGGAGGAACAAAAGGGTTCCCCTAACATAACTTGTTGCATGGTGACCAAAATGCAAACCACAACAAGCCATTGCTAAGCGAGAGTTAAGGTTGAGCTTTGAAGCCTAACACACTTTCAAGTGTAAGTATTTATGTTTTATTCTAATTTGTCGTTTATCTAACTTCCCTTTTAATTTTCTTTAATATAATTATGTTTGTCTCAACTCTATCTTGTGATGAATGTTCCTATGTTCACAGCTCACCATGCCACTATAAAATGAGCATGGATAACAACTCCGGGAACGTGCCGCCTATGCTGGTTCGAACGGCAATATTCGCATTTATAACATGTTTAATTAATTAGAAACAAACTCAGCTGTGCTGGTTAACGGAAACATTCAGGAAACAAAAGGAAAAAATCATTGTTTCCTTTAAATTTAAAATGATTTTAACATATATTATAAATAAAGAAAAAAAGTCTTGAAAGAGACCTCCTTTTTAAATGAAGGAATTATTTTTATCATATCGATAGGATTTTAACTTAGATGTGCTGGATCACGTGAAAAGAAAAAGAAAAATATATATAAATTCAACACATTTTTATATGTGTAGAAGTTAAAATTATTTTCTACCACATGAAAAATACTAATCTCTTAAATGAAGGCCTGGTATTTTTTAAATATTAGGGTACAAATCCTAAATATTAGGTGTGCCTTTACGCTTGGTGTTACCGAAAAGTCCACGAGATCACGGCTTTAGACTAATATGATACAAATTCCCAAAATATTTTGAGGTTAGGTATGCCTTTATTCGAGGCATTACCCGAAGAAACTCAGAATTTTGGTATGTCGAGTTATTGTTGGAATGGTTCAGCGAGGACAAAATCAGTTAGGGCCAGATAAATAAGTCAAGTGTAAATTGAACTAAATAATGCAGAAAATAAATCAAGAACAACAACAAAATAATTGGCATATAACTCTTGGGTTGTTTTACAAGAATGAGGAAAATGTAAATTTATTTAGTTTTATTGATAGTGATTATGCAGTTGATATTGAGAATTTAAAAAGCACCTTAGGCTACAAATTCATGCTTGGTTCAACTGCTGTTTCATGGTCTTTGAAGAAACAATCCATAATCATCCTTTCAACAACAGAAGCTAAATTTGTGGTTGCTGCTTAAGTGCTCGTCAAGTTATTTGATTGAGAAATATTTTTCAAAAACTTTAATTTAAAACAAGATGAAGCAACAATGATTTTTGTAATAACAATTCAACAATTAAATTGTTAAAAAAATAAATAAAAAATCCTAGTTTTCATGGAAGGAGCAATAAAATATAATTTCTTGAGGAATCTTACAAAAGGATGATATAATTGGTCTTGTTTTCTGTAGAAGTAAAGATCAAGTTGCTAATTTGTTAACCAAGCCTCCCGAATTAGTTGCATTTTATAAGCTTAAGGGCTTACTTGGCATATTTTCCAAGGATGATGGATGAAGCATTTAACTAGACTAAAACTAATTATTGAAGAACATCAATTTCAGGGAATGTTGAAAAGTCCTTTCAATCTTTTAGTGTAAGTTAAAACGTTGAATATTTCCCTTACCTCCCGAATTAGTTGCATTTTATAAGCTTAAGGGCTTACTTGGCATATTTTCCAAGGATGATGGATGAAGCATTTAACTAGACTAAAACTAATTATTGAAGAACATCAATTTCAGGGAATGTTGAAAAGTCCTTTCAATCTTTTAGTGTAAGTTAAAACGTTGAATATTTCCCTTACCTTTAAATGATGTAATAGGCATGTGGGTGCACTAAAATTGTGTATTGTCTCTTATTGGTGGAGTTATTTGGGTTTATTGATGTAACATTTATTTTTTATAGTTTTACTCAAGTTTTTGTATTGCCTATAGGAGGTGTATGTCATTATATGATAAAGATGAATAACATTCTCTTTCCAATTTTTAAAACAATAAAAATAAAAAAGGTTGTTATACTAATTTATTATGGTTTGTGACTTAACCCATTACATGGAAAGTAACCCTTGCAAGGGTTTTTGGCTCTCCCACCATCTTAACATATAGTTGCTCAATCACACCATTCTCACCCTAACCTTTTGACCATGTAAATATCTCAACCTCTATGTTGGGATATTAAAGTGTGACAGAGTCTTGCATTGATTAATAATGAGCTAAGTGAAGCCAATATAATTGGGAGGATCCATGAAGTCAATATTTTAAGGTTTTGCGTTGAGACATAACATTGGTTGTTGGACCCACTTAATATGGTTGTTATAGCTTATAACTCATTGGTAGTGTTCCTGATGCCATGGGCTCCCTTGACTATAATTTCTATATGAATTAAATTCATAAAATACAATAATTTTCAATAAGTTACACAAAATATTTCATTTACAAATAAAGTGAACTTTAACTTTAACACCATGTCTTAAGCTTTTGGTTGAGATATCATATTGAACCCACTTGATATAATTAGTGTAATTTAACACAATGGTGGTGATCTCTCGACCATGGGCTCCCTTGGATTGCATGACACTCCACCCAACACTCTTATTTCTTTCTCACTTCCTTATCTTAATCATATCCTCTCTCCAACTAATAAATCATGCATTATGTAACATCCTAAGGGCTGGCAAGGGCAGAGAGTGATCGCCTGTGTAAAAGAGGCACGGACAATGAGCGGCTCATGTCAAATCTTGCAGCTGGGGGATACATGAATGAATTAAATCAACACCCGAAAGAGAGAGATTTCAGAGATTGTACAAGTATGTGACTGTACAGTTAGGAATAGCTTATAAGAATTAATTGGTACTACCTATACTAACAAGATGCATATACTTTTCGGTAGCCCGAAAGGAAGAACTCCATAGTTAAGCGTATTTAACTTGGAGCAATTCTGGGATGGATGACCTCCTGGGAAGTTTTTCCAAGAAGTGTGAGAGTGAGGACAAAGCACGCTGAAAACTCTCGTGTTATTTTGTGGGGGCAATTATTGATCCTTGCAAGTTGCCGGGCATTATAAGTGCTATCAGAGCAGGACATTTCTCCCAGTACAGTGTGGTTCAAGGACAAACCAGGCGAAAGCTGGTGGGCATGTAATATAATATCCCTAACCTATTTAATTATAAAATTGCATGTAATTAAGTAATCTATCAGGCATTAGTGGGTTGAATTAAGTAAAGGGACTAAGTAAATAAATTAGGGTCACTTTTGGGATAAAAGTACAGCCAATGAGAATTTTGGGGTAAAAATGTGTATAGGAAAAATTACCCAAAAAGTAAAAGTAAAGTTAGCAATATAGTAGGAAAAATATTCTAGTTCATTGGATAAAGTTTGATGGTGAATGGAGGTGACTAGATAGATAAGTTGTTACCTAGTTAAAAATCTACTCTACCTATGTAAATGAAAAACAAAAGCCAAGCCCTCATTTTCTTCTTTTTATTCGATGGACGACTGAGGGAGAGAGGGAGAGAAACCATTGTTACAGCTCAAAACCCTAGTCACTCCATTTCTTAACCAAATCAACTTATTCCAAAGCCAAAACCAGTTAGAATCTCTCCCTCATTGTGAATCAAAACTTGGTTTAGAGTAGAAAGCTTTGTGGAGAGAGATCTTCCCTCTAAAAGATTTCGAACCTCTGGGTGATTGGAGGAGTTTGATGGTATTTTCTTGCATGGGAGCTTAGGAGACCACTATTCCTTGGTTGTGTAACCTATTGTGGTAAGTTTCCCCTCCTTCAACCTAGTTTTCTTGGAGATTGCATATAGGTTGAGTATGATGAATGGTGTTTTATGAGTTGAATGTATTTGAGTTAGATAGAAGTTAAATCCCTTTACAAATGTTGTTAGGAATGATAAATAAATGGTAGAAATGTCATTTAAGTTATTCTCAATATTTGAGGAAAATCTATGCTAGAAATTATGATTTCTTGCATGTTGAGCCATTTATTGGTGGTATGTTTGATTTTTGTTCATTTTGGTGCTAGAATTGAGCCAAGTTGACCAATCGTGAGTGACCAACCATTGGAGGAAGCAATGAAGCTTGATTAAGTCATTGAGAATGGTAAGTCCATACCTTAATTGTGGTGCGAATGTGATTGTTTGTTGATGAATATTGATATATTCTTGGATGCAATAGATTGATTGCATTGCACCTTTGTGTAGGTGTTTGGTTATGAGATTGTGGTTAATAATTGTAAAGCTTGATTGTGCACATTGGTGGTGAACAAAGGTTGGACTTCAAGCAAATTGAGGTCAACCTTCAGACCTTGGAAATTGATTTCTTTATTGTTCCACCAAGCCCTGAACGGGTAGTAGTTGTTGATAGTATATGTAAATGCAATAAAGTGGTTTAATGCTTTGTTATATGTTTGTGTATGCACTGGTGTAGAATATTATGGTGTTTCCTTATGTTTAGTATGTTGCATAATGATGCATAATTCATACTTGGTAGTTTAGCTGGCCAGTAAGACTATTTGCATATGAGTATCTTTAGAAAAGTATGAGAGCTCGAGGGATGTCTTATGGAGATGTTTGACACACTGCATGGATATGTATTTACTGCATTATTTACCGTTATTGCTATTATACTATGAGTGAACTATAGGGTGGAGAGATACTCTAAGGACCCCTGGTTTACTGAGATGTATTCGTCTATCTCTCCCCGTGTTGTGGGGACCCCTTTTCGGCTACAGATGTTGCAAGAGCCTCTAGTGGCAGGTGGTCACAATTGAGCTAGATTGATATATGTTGATGCTGTTGTCCTTTGCTTATGCCTGCCATTTGGTATTTGTCCATGTATAGAGCATTTTGAAGCATCAGGGTATATGTATCCATGTGGGACTTAGAGGATAATTATTGATAATTGTATAACCCTTATGCATCTAGATAGAGACTTTGATCATATGTTGTCCTAAGTTCTTTGACATGTATTTATTTTGGAGAACATTGTTGTACATGATTCATTGGAACATTGATGTAATAAGGTATTATATTATTTCCATTTTGGTGTGTATAATAATTATGTAAAGTTTGTTAAGTATAGTGGCATTTGAGAGGAAGTCCCCAAGAGAAATACATGAAAATAGAAAAATTTAGTGTTTTGCACAGTTGGAGGGCGCTTAAGCACCCATGAGGGGCCTTAAGCGCTATGAGATAGAAAGTTTTCGAGGATTTATCCATCGGAAGGAATTTAAGCGCCCAAAAGGGAGCTTAAGCCTGCTCATTGAACTGAAACTTAGAAATCCTTTGCCCGAGGGGGCTTAAGTTCCCTGTAAGGGGCTTAAGCGCCCTATCAGTGATTTCTAAAATGAATTAGACTTAAAATTAATGAGTAAGGACCATTTGTTTAGGGTCTAATAAAGATAGTAAATGATGTTAAGCATAATATTAGTTATTCCGCAACTTCACACAATTATAATTACGATATTGCTAATTTTAAATACAGTGTGTTTTAAAACGGGAAAAACAAACAAGGTTTTTAAAGAAAAAATTATCTATGTTTTAATTGAACAAATGTGATTGTAACTACGCTTAATATCATAAAGCAATGATAACAAACTGGTTATAGAACGGGGTGTTACATGTAACATCCCAAGGGTTGGAAAGGGAAGGAAGTGATCGCTCGTGTAAAAGAGGCACGAACAATGAGCGGCTCATTCCAAATCTTGCAGTTGGGAGGTACATGAATGAATCAAATCAACACCCGAAAGAGAGAGATTTCAGAGATTGTACAAGAATGAGACTGTACAGTTGAGGATAACTTATAAGAATTAATTTTTTCTACCTATATTAACAAGATGTATCTACTTTTCGGTAGTGCGGAAGGAAGAACTCCATAGTTAAACGTGCTTAACTTGGAGCAATTCTGGGATGAGTAACCTTTTGGAAAGTTTTTCCAAGAAGTGTGTGAGTGAGACAAAGTACATTAAAAACTCTCGTATTAGTTTGTGGGGGCAATCATTGATCCTTGCAAGTTGCCGGACGTTACACATTACTTGCAACATAAATTTTATGTCAATTAAATTCATAAAATATTACATTTTTCAATAACTTACACAAAGTATTTCATTTACACATAATGTGAAATCTAACCCCAAGGGTTCCAAACTGGATTTGAAAAATCAAACTCAATTGATTAATTTTCTGTTTACTTCCAATTAACTTGTATCCCCAAAGGAAGATGAAACTGAATGAAAAGGCTCATTTGTGGTTGGAGGGAAATAGACTATCACGGGAGTCTTTTGCGGGAGAATTGGTAATGGAGCTTCAAAACTAAGTACCTTAATCACTTGCATTATAGAAGGCCTAGATGTGAAATCTGGATTGGCACACCATAAGCCAACTGCCAGCATACATCCCATTTGCTGCACATCAAATACCCCACATAGCTTTGGGTCTGCTGCTGCAAAAAGATTTCTAAATCCGTAGAGCTCCCAAATCCACTCAACTAATGATACTTGACCCTCCTTGTCATTGTGGTGAATGGCTTTTCTTCCGCTGGCTAACTCCAACAAAACAACCCCAAAACTGAATATGTCCGATTCCTTTCCAGCCTTGCCTGTGTTTATGGATTCAGGTGCTAGGTAACCCATTGTCCGAGCTACAACTGTGGTTTGTGACCCTTTCTCATGCTCCACCAGCCTAGCTAGGCCAAAATCACCAAGCTTAGCATTGAAGTTGGAGTCCAACATTATGTTGCTTGATTTGATGTCCCTATGAAGCACACATTTTTCCCATCCTTCCTGAAGGTAAAACAATGCTGAAGCCAACCCCAGAGCTATGTTGTACCTCACCTGCCACGACAACGACAAGATGCTTTCTCCACGGAAAAGATGAGAATCTAAGCTACCATTTGGCATGTACTCGTATACCAAGAGGAGATCATTCTTCTTGTGACACCAACCAGTGAGTCTTACCAAATTCCCATGCCTCAATTGGCTAATGATCTTAACTTCTGCTGCGTATTGCTTTATATCCTGTCTAGAATTTGCTGATATCCTCTTTATAGCAGCAAAAGAGTGAGAAGCTTTCAAATAACCTTTATAAAAACCACCAAAACCACCTTGCCCAAGCTTCTGCGTGTCTTCAAAGTTGTTTGTTGCAGATGCCAATTCATAATAACTAAATTTTTTAAGTCTAGTGCCCATTTGGTGTTCATCATCCATCTTCAGATGCGAAGTGGGTTCTTCTTTTCCTTTATTCATCTTCCATAATATAATATGGACTAACCCTAATAAAATCAAAGACAAACCAATACCAATTCCTATCCCCACCAACAATTTTGTGTTGATTAACCATCTTTCCTTCTTGGGATCAGCATTGCTTGTACTAAATGACCATGAAATCAGGGTATGTTCCTCATAATTTGCTCCTGTTGCAGCTGATATGCCAACAATAACCGACTCTGGTAAGTACTCTCCAATATCAATGTTGTATGAAAAGTATTGTGTGGTGTGTGTTACGTTCCCATCATAGGATATATATCCATTGAAAGAAACATTTAAGTTATTATTTCTAGAATCGTATTCAATATAACAGTAATGAACTTCCCCTTTTGAAATATCTGTCGTCCATTCCTCAAGTATGTCAGACTCCATAGAATTGATATTAACAGCAACATGTGCACCATTTGGGTCCCAACGGTTTGAGAAAGTGTCAAACTCCACTGCCACAAAACTATAGTAAGGTTTGATAAGATTTTGGTTAGCATCCGCAAGACCAATACCAAGGCCTCCTCCATTTAGCTCTGGTTTATCATTTGTGCTTGGAAGATTTGGGCTTGCTAGAAAGAATGCCAAACCATCTCCATAAGAACTCTGATTTGAGAAAAGAACAAAGGAAAAGTTGGTAGAGAAGTCTTTTTTTTCTTTTGTGCTGCTGTCCCAAAGATGCACCGGCTCGGGAAACGTGACTCGCCCAATACTCCCAGTCCTGTTGTTACTTGTGATTTGGATGCCAGAATCTGAAGTAGAAGCATCTCCTTCAAGCTTTAGCTGGTTTTGACCATCATTAATAAAGTTGGGGTAATCAAAAGATAGAGTCTGAGCATATGCAAGAGGGATTATCAGAAGCAACAAAATGGTTATCCTTGAATAACAGAAAAGAGGAGTTGTTGCATGGAGACTAAAATGCCAACCACAGCTAGTCATTGCCAAGGGAAGTTGAGTTTGAAACTTGAAGACTAACACCCTTTCATGTATTTGTATTTATCTGCTACTCTTATTTGTCATTTATCTAACTTCCTTAGTAATTTGTGTAATTTAATTACGGTTTTCTCAACTCTTAACTTTGGGATGACTATTCCTTCGTACACAACTCACTATGCCATGAAAGTTGAACAAGGATCACAAGCACTGGACCATGCTGTCACTGCTGGTTAAAACGGCAATATTCGGAGTTATAGCATGTTATAATTAATTAGAAACAAACTTGGTTGCGCTTGTTAACGGAGATTTCAGGAAACAGAAAGCAAATGCATTGTTTTCTTCAAATTTAAAAAGCTTTAACTACTTAGAAATAAAGAAGAAAAGTTTTGAAAGAGACATGGGCACATGGCCCTTTTTTAATGAGTGTCTTTTGGTGGTATTTTCTTAGAAGTTAGAACTAATCAGCGCTTTTTGCCGTCTTTAGATATTAATGATAACTTCATGTAAAGTTAATTATATATGTGGGCTCAGTTTAGCCCAGTTTCTGTGACAAAGTACCCTCAAATTTAAATTTTGAGGCATCAAGGATTTGAACCCATGTGGGGTTGATGGAAGTTGCAGCACCTAGTACTATGTTAGAGTTACTTGTCATAATGCATATTTTAATAATTTATTATATAATTAAATTAAAATTCAGTTTAACTGGTTGAACCAACAACTCACCAGTTGAACCACTGACCCATTAATTCAGTACCTCGACCGAGTTGATGACTGAGCCGAGTTTCAAAACATTGGTTTAGCGCAAGTCAGTTAGGGTCAGAAAACCATGTGCAATCAAGCTTTAAAGCATGAGTAGTTACTCATTAGTTGAAAATCAGTAAACGATAACCATAAAAATAAAATGACTCATTAATTTAATATTTTAAGAGTTTATGTTACGATGTTGAGTTCAATCCTTTTTTTATGATTTTTTTTTACCATATTAATGTTGATTCTCCTCTACTATAGCTCCTACTGGCTAACCTACAACATTTTTAGAATTGAAACCAGGTCTCATGGTTCAACCATGTTAAAGTTTTATTTATTTAATTTTAATTGGGCTTTTATTTATTGATTTGATTAGGTTTATAAAATTGATTGAATGATTAATATAATATTTTTCCAACCATCCTATCATAAAGCTTAAATTATTATGAATTATTTAGAAGATGGAAATGTAGGTTTGTTTTCCACATAGGTGAAGTATGATTTAGCAGACTAACAAAAAAATTAGACGATGGAGAAGATGATGATCTTAGTGAGGTAAGACCCTTTATTTATAAGACGTGGGATATTTCCTCTCAACATGGGAAGTGTGATGCCATAAACGTTTCAGCCATTTCGGCTCCACTATGGTGTGAGGTTGCATGAATACGCCATGCATGCTCGGGAAATGTGAGGGGGGCACATGAATTGGAAAGCCACATGCTCCATACGCTAAGTGCTTGAGGCCTAACCATGCATCCACTTGAGCTAGTTAGACAAGTCTATCTAATTGGTCCAAAACATAATATATCAATTATAAACTTGAACAATTATGCAAGAGTTTAATAAAAAAAATTTGTGAAACCAATGCACACAAAATGAAGAATATAAAGATACAATGATTTTGGTGATATATAATAAACAAGCATGGGAAGTAGACTTCAAGCATTACAACTTGCAACAATAAAAAGAAGCCTAAAAGATCAACCAACTAATGTGAAGTTCATCAAGACAATGGGCAAAGCTTAAAAGAGATCAAGACTCAAGCTACAATAGAAGAACCTAAGTCCAAAGAGTTGTAGAATTAAATATGAAGGTAATTGACAACAACTTACATGAAAAAGCTCAAAGGATTTTTCAAAACATATGCATTAAATCATCATTTGATGTATAGAATTATTCCTAGCATCTCACATTCATGAAAACATGTTTCCAAGTATGATTTAAATACATTTGAAACAAAGGAAAATATTTTCAGATGAATTTCTAACCTTTCCAACAGGTTAGCAATCGATTCCCTCAATATGGGATCTCTTTATAGAAAAGTTGGGAATCGATTCTATAATAACCCTAACCTATGAAATGATTAATTGATAATTATTTTGGTGCTAAAAAGAGAAACATGGTGTTTTTAAGTGATTCAAAACTTGGAGGTTGATCCTTTGGATGCCTAAGACTTGTTAGAGGTAAGAAACTTCATTTTAATCGGTTGAATCTTTGAGTTGGAACCTAGGGTTCATGAACATGTTAGAGGGAGTTTTGAAATTTGAAATTTATGAATAGTGCAGTGTTTGATGTTGAGTTATATGTGTTGTTTGATTTAGAGTGGAAAGCTAACAAGAGAATGCATTGGAAGCTTGAAAATTTCTTGTTCCTCCAAGTGTCCATTTCGGCTATTGAAAGGAAACAAGGCTTGGAGCCGTGCTTGACCTTGTGTGAGGATTGGAATACCAATTTAAGACTATTCCTAGTATTTTCAAGGTGAGAAACACTAGCTTTGTTGTGAGTTTCATTATGACCCTTGATATGTGACTTTGGCCATTACATATAAACATGTGTTAGAATTGAATTTTTAGTTCTTTTATATAATGGTGAACATGTCTTTGGTGTTATTATGCTAAATGTATTGAGTGGTTGGTTGTGGAATGTATAAAAATGTGAAAAATGACTTAAGACACCATTTAGGCCATATATGTGGAAAATGAGTGTAGAAGACTTGATAGTTTTGCTTTGTTAATGATTAGTATATGTTTGTTGATGAAATGCACAATGATGCAATTATGGACATTGGAAAGAAATAAAATCCAATGGACTCCTCATATGTACTCCTCGGTCATATCTGTGGAAAATTGGGTGGAAATATGTTAAATGGTTATTTGAGTAATGTGTGTGACTTATTGGCTATGTTGAGGTAATTAGACTCATTGATTGGTAATTTGAATCATGAGAACATATGATGAACCCCTAAGTTACCACCATGTAGGCTATGTCTTGAGAAATAAGTAATTGAAGTTGTTTAATTTGATATTGGTGCTAGTTACTAGTCATTGGATAACTTGATGTTAAATGGACTAGTTGATAATCGTTGAAAGCATGGAAATTTGATGGAATGCCTAGAGTGTGGTTCGGCCATGCTATAGGAAAACATGTTGGAAATGAAATCAATAGGGTTTGAATGGTGGGAAACATATTGACATGTTATAATTAAATAAACTAAATTGTTGGTCATTTGGGAACTTGGTAAATGTGAGACACCCTTAGTACCATGGTTCAGCTATATAGGGTGATTATGGTTGGAAATTTGTAAAAATGGTGTTTGAGACTCCAAAGGTAATTTCTATGCCATTTCAAAAGTAATACGTGTGAAATCTAGGTCATTGACTTAGTTAAAAAGAAAGATGAACGTGTGTGGTCATACTTTGTTAATTATGAATAATCAGCTATGAATTGTTTTTTGGCATATACTGGCATGTAAATGTGTTGAGTAATGTTATGTCATAAAGAAAGTATGAATAAACCAAGTTGGTCACCATATTTGAAATTATAAGGAAGTAATAAAGTGTTGAAATTGGTATCTCACACTTGAAATGTAGCCTAAATGGTGTTGGTTTATGATTGGTCCATGATCTAGGTTGGAGCCAAAGGATATTGAGTTGGAAAACCAACAATTGGAAAAATGTAACTAACTTTCTTGGAGTGCAAGGAAGCTTGTTAGTGAAGCTTCGAGCGATAAACCTTCGGACTTTGGAGTTAATTCCCTCATGTGTTCCACCATACTCCATTAGGAGAAATAGTTGGATGATGTGATGTATGATAATGATTGAAATATTATGTTCATGCATTAGTATGATATGATGGTGAAATACATGTATACTATATTATGTATATATGATTCTCTGCCCAGTAGAATTGTATGATTGGTTGGGGCTTCCCATGGAGATCTTTACAAAGGTTCAGGTGGATGAATGACAGAAAGAAATGGCTCATTTGCAGAGTTCTCTTAGAAGTAACATTTTATACGCGATGTGTTACCTTTGAGAAATGGCTCCTTAGCAGAGTTCTCTTGATAATTACGTGGAATGTGTTAATATGTATGTTATACTATTTTATTGTTATTGTATATGCACATTGAATGAACCATTGAGTTGAGTGACCTCCAAAGACCCTTGGTTTATTGAGATTGTTATCTCACCCTGTGTTTGGGGGACCACATTTCAAGTACTACTGATGGTACTGGAGTATCCCAGGCTAAGAGGCTCGAGTAGGATAGTGGAGCATTATATGTTTTGGATGTGCATTTTGCGGAGGACTACATATTGATATTTTGTAGTCACATTTGGTGTAGGTTGATGTATTAGCATCTGGGGACTTAGCCCATAATCACTATTCTTTGTATCTTTCGTGTTGATGTTTTATGCAAGGACTTTGATAATGTGTTTTGTATGAGTTAAGTCAAATTGATGTATTTTGTAAACAATGTATATTTTGGAACATTCCTGAAATGTATGTGGACATTGATGTATTTATATGATGGTAGGGCTTGTGTGACTATTTGATAAATTAAGAGTGTATCTGTATTAAATAAACTGTCTATTAGGTTGAGATTACTGTAGTAGGAATTGTCCCCAGTTGTCTAAAAAACAAATGGAATGCTATCCGTTTTGTTTTGACGATGTTGGTAGGAGATTTCCAAAATTGTGTGATTAACTATCAATATTCGATTATTGAAGCCATGTGGTGTATGAGAACCTCATGGTGGTATCTTATAATGGTTGTATGATATGTTAAGCTAGGTTTAAATATTTCGCATTGTGGTTGAGTTATAATTACAGTTCAATTTATTCATGAATACAAAAAAAGTTTTAAGCAGTAAACGTTATGTTTTAAAAGGGAAAAAGTTAAGCCGTATTTTAATTCAACTGTTGTGATTATAACTGCACTTAATATCATATGTAATGATAACAGACCAGTTCTAGAAT